TAAATGTCTTTATCTGATGTCAGTATTAGGATAATTCTGGCTTTGGAGAGTTTTGTAGTGTTCTTTCCTTTCCTATTTTCTGGAATAGTTTGAGAAGCATTGGTGCTACATCTTCTTTAAAGGTTTTGTAGAATTCAGTAGTGAATCCATCTGGACCTGGACTTTTTTTAGTTGGAAGATTTTTTTAAATTACTCCATCAACCTTGTTGCATGTTATAATTCTGTTTAAATGATTTATCTAATCTTGGCTTAATTTTGTTAGATAACATGCATCTAAAAATTCATCCATTCCATTATTTTCCAGTTAATGGGATATATGCTTTCAAGGTTTTTCCTGGTGAGTTTCTGAATTTCCTTAGTATCTGTTGTAATAGCTCTATTTTCATCTTTAATTTTATTAATTTGGGACTTCTCTGTCTTTTGGTTAATTTTTCTCATGTTTTATTAATCTTTTTTTAATATTTAAATTTCTTTTTTAAATTTAGTTTTGAAACTTTCATACAATATAATTTTATGATATTTAGATCCCATCTCCCCCCTCCCCTTATTGCCCCCTGCCCAATTTAATGATATATATATATACATATGTGTGTGTGTGTGTGAAGGCCTATAGAGTCTAATTTGTGTCTCTAAATGTCCTACAGTGTGGGTCCATCCACTAGAGCCTGGCTAACTTACCAAGAGTTCCATGCTAGAAAGAGACTGTCTCTATCCCTCCAAGCAGCCGTCTTTTGCCACAGTTTCCTTAGGTGGGGCTGGAGCTTCTTACTCACTTCCTCCTGTCTATGCTGCCCTTTTCACAATGGCCAGAAATTGTAAACAATCAACTGATGAATGGCTAATAAAGGTGTGGTGCATACACACAATGGAATATTATTCAACTCTTTAAAAAAGACTGAAATTGTGAAGTTTGCAAGTAAATGGATGGACGTGGAAACAGTCAAACGGAGTGTGGTAACCCTGACTCAGAAAGACAAATCACATGTTCCCTTTCATAGCTGGGTACTAGCTTTGAAATCTTAGCTATACATGTTTCAATTTGAAAATCTAGAGAGATCAAGAAACTAATAAGAGGCCATGGGTGAGGGAGGCGTCCCGGGAGGGGTGGTAGAATGCAGTGATGTGAAGGGAGAAAGGGAAACTTTAGAGCAGGAAGGGTTAAACCGGCTGAGGAGGGCTGGACAAAAAGGAGTATAAGGAGGGATAAGTAACATTAAAGGTCTTTAGAAAAAGATGTATGGAAACCTACCACTATAGAAGCTTCTTAAAGTATATACATCGTAAAAAGAGTTTAAAAGAAGTTATAACCTGGACATTGCCCTTTCTAGACATCATAAGCTAATGAGAAACAAAAACCAAACAAACAAAAAACCTCACTGGCAGGAATGAACTCCCTTTCTAGGAGCTGTTGTCCAGGGATCCCATGGACTCTCAAATAATACTGGCCATTGCATCTGCTCTTGTTTCCCCATGGATGGTAAGACTCTATTGCTAAAGACACTAGATACATGAGTTGTAGAACATCAAGGAGAAATTAAACTTACTTCAGAGCCTCAGCTGGAAGGTGCTATGCAAGCTACCAGAAGGAAAAAAAATCCTTACACAGGTGTGAACCTTGTGAACCATTAACATTTAGAGTTATTATTGAAAGATGGTATTTCTTATCATTTTGTACTTTTTGGTGTTTTCTTATTCCTTTCTTTTTTAAAAAAAATCTATTAATTTTTATTTTATGCATATGAGCGTATTGCCTGCATGTATGTAAGTGCACCCGTGGTGTGCAATGCCCGCCGAGGTCAGAAGAAGGCATTGGATCCCCTGGAACTGTAGTTAAGGACAATTGTTAACTGCCATGTGGGTGCTGGAAATCGAATCTGGGTTCTCTGCAAGAGTAGCTAGCGCTCTTAACCACAGAGCCATCTCTCCAGCCCCTCTTATTCCTTTCTTGTTTAACTATTATTCGAGAGTAGTTTATTCTTTCCAATGGCCCCATGGATATGGTTTTTTCTTGAGTCTGGAGAATTCCTTCAAGTATCTTCTGTACAGCTGGCTTTAGTGGTCATGAATTTCTTTTCTTTTCTATTTATTTTACATGTATGAGTATTTTGCCCGCATGTACGTAAGTGCACCGTGTGGAGGCCAGAAGAGGGCATCAGATTTCCTGGAACTGGAGTTATGGACAGTTATTAGCCATCAAGTGGGTACTGGAAACTGAATTCAGGTCCTCTGGAGGAGCAGCCTGTGCTTTTAACCATTGAACCATCTCTCCAGCCCTTCTTGCCACTGTCAATACATTTCTTTATTCAGAGTGTTTAGTTGTTTGATATGATGAGGGCAAGTTCTTTTCTGGCCTTGGTTTGATGTTCAGAATGCTTCCTATGTCTGGATAGGTGTTTCTTTGTCTTATTTAGCAAAAATTTCTTCTATGATTTCATTGAACATGTTTTCTGTGCCTTTGGAAAGGAGTTCTTCATCTTCTTTTGTACCCATGATTCTTAGAGTTGATCTTTTCATAGTGTCTCAAGTATCTTGGAAGCCCACTGCATACCTTTTCATTAGTTTATGTTGGTCCTTATGGAATGTTCCAATTCCTCCATCTTGTCTTCAAGCTCAGATTCATGTTCTCCCCTTGATGAATTCTTGGTGAGTTTTTGTGGCTTTTTGTTTGTTTGTTTTCATTTTTTTGAAACAGAGTCTCACTATGTATCCATGGCTGGCTTGGAACTCACTGTGTAGACTAAGCCGGCCCTGATTTCACAGAGATATGCTTACCTCAGCTTCCCAAGTGCTGGGATTAAAGGCATGTGCCACCATACCCAGCTTATTAGTGAAGTTTTCTGCAGAATTTTTAAATTTCATGTGTTATATTTTTAATTTCCAGTATTCCAGTATGGTTTTTCTTCAGTATTTCTACCTTCTTCTCAAATTCCTCTTTGATATTATGTACCAACCTCCTCATTTTATTCAGACATTTGTATTCTCTTGGGGTCCTTTCAAGAGTTTTTCTTTTCTTTTTGAGTTCTTTGAATGTACTTATAAGCTTTATAAGTTATTTTTCTGGATTTCATCTCAAGTTTTACTGAAGGCCATTACTGCAGGACTAATAATTTTTGGAGTAATTAAGACGTCTTGGTTTTTCATGTTACTTGTTGTCTGCATTGGGATTTGTGCATTTTATTTATTGTTTTTATTTTGTGTGTATGTGAGTATTGCCTGCATGTGTGTAAGTGCACCTGTGTCATGTATTACTGGGGAGGACAGAAGAGGATGTCAGACCCCCTGCAACTGGAGTTATTGATGATTGTTAGCCACCATGTGGGTGCTGGGATTTGAATCTAGGTCTTCTGCAAGAGCATTGACCTCCCTAGGGCAACAGGATGTGCTGAAGCCTCCTGGCCACACTGTGCTTCAGGTGCAGAGCTATCAAATACAACATTGTTCTCAGCTGATGAGGACAGGCTTGTTCACGGGTTACTTCTATGGTTGGGATGCTTCATGTTCTGCTCTTTCTGGATCCTTTCACTTCCTGGTCTCTGAAGCTCTTCCTCTGTTTCTCTCTGGATTAAAGTCTAGTTTTTCTTATTCTGACTCTCTTCATTGGCTCACTGAGAGGCAGACTCTAGGCTGCCTTTTACCCCAAAATGTGTGTTTAAGAGCCAGTCTTTGGCCATTAACTACCTCTGTAATCTAGTGGTATTACAGTAGTACAGAGACTAGCAGAGCAGTTGAACTGCATGGAGGAGGCAAGCCCGAGTTCCCAGCTGATGCCTCTTCTGTTCCTTAGCTTCTGAGGCCCCTATCTCTCCCTAACCCCATTGAACTGGACACCCTCCAGAGATTTTTGAGTCAGTGTAGTGTTTTCCTCAATAGTGGGTTAAATACGTCTTTGATGTATAGTCAGTCTACATTTGAATGACTCATTTTTTGAGCAATTTAAAATTATCTATATTTTGAAGGAAATAATTCAAACTTTAGTGATTCTCTGTTTCTTTTCCTCTTAAAATTCAAATAAAGGGACTCGAGAGATACCTCAGTGGTTAAGAGCACTGGCTGCTCTAGCAGAGGACCAGATTTGAATCCCAGTACCCACATGGTGGTTAACAACCATCAGTAACTCCAGTTCCAGGGGTTCTGATGCCCTCTTCTGACCTTTGTGGGCATTGCACAGCATGAGTGCATTTACACACATGCAGGCAATACACTCATACACATAAAATAGAAATAATAAATAAAAAATTCAAGTAAAGTATGTGAGATACTTGCTCTTGAATCACTTGATTTCAGACCTTGAGGACTGGCCCCATGGTGCTGTGAACCTGAGAAGAGAGAGGCAGACAGACCAAAGATTGCATGTAGTATACTTTATTAGGGGATTTGCTGATGGAAAGATGCTCCCAGGTGGCAGTGAGACCAGTTGGATCCCCACTAGAAGGGCATATGCATGGCTTAGATTAAAACTGACTTCATCTTTGCTGAATGTATCTGGCTTGTCTTAGGTAATATCAGAAGTAGGCACATTCCTAGAGCCAGAGTGTAAAGCTCCACAGACCACTCTGATAGTTTTATCCGTTTATATAATTTTCTGGGAACCTATGCAGGAAATCTCAGTAGAGTTCTTCCAAGGCAGTCATGATGGTCATAATTCAAGATATCTCCAGTTGTGTGAAGTTGAATTCATATAAATACTGTTGATTAGATCTATTGCTTTAAACCAGAGCAGAGAATAAATACTTTGTATATCTTTTTTTAAATAAATAATTTATCGAGAATTTCATACGTGCATATAAGGTGTTTTGATCAAATCCATGCCAACTCCCTCCCCTCCAACTCCTCCCATATCTCCCCGTCACTTTTTTTCTGATAACTTCATGTACTCTTTCTTCTTCTTTGATTGATTTATTTATTTTTATGGGGCTTTTGGCTACTCTAACATTCCCCCCTCTGAAGAGGTCATCCTAAAATCTTTTAATGATTAGATACAAGCTCCTAAATACTTTTGACATTTTTGGCCTTTGGAACAGAGTATGTTGCTAAGAGGCCCAAGGACATTTTGACTTTTAGCCAATACTTTGTATATCTTTTACAATGCATGCTTAGAACCTCCTAGATAGTCAATGGGGGAGTAGGGCAGGTAGTGGAGGGCTGGCAATATATGCCCCTTCCTCTTAATCAAATTTTGTTGTTCTTAGGTCCATAGTTGAGAGTTCTGCCTCAGTTCCTCTATGCACTGCTGAACTCTCAGATCACTGGGGTTTGCACAGACGCGTTTCCCTGTCCTGGTAACAAAGCTGGAAAAAAGGAGAAATAAAATAAAAAACAGAGGTATCTTCAGGGGGAGGGGACCCCAATTCTCTCTGCCCTCTGATCCTCCACTCAGTAGTCTGCTTTTTCCAGGAGATAGTTCAAGGCCTATCTCCTCTCAGAAGACCATTTTTAGCCTGGGAGACTCCCTAGTGACTTCCAGAGTGATTTAGGTAGCTTTCTGCCAGCTGCCCCCTCCGTCACCTCCCCTTCTCTCCCACCCTGATGTGTCCTAGTAGGTATAACATGACCCCTTTCATGGAGGGATCCAAGGATGGAGCTTTTCTGGACACCTATCCATTAGGTCTTCTACGACCCTGGAGGCTCCCTCTCCCCATGCCATGGAGTGGGTGAACTTGATACTTACATGACTCCCGGCTGAATGCACCCACCACTGGTTAGAAAATAATCTACAAAGTTTGAACAGCGGATTCTTCGAGGCACATAGGAGAAGCAGCAATCAGAAGAACCTTGAAAATCTATAGGAAGAAAAAGAGCCACTCAAGGGCCAAGTCTGCTCTAAAGAGTACAGTGGAGGGTCCCGTGGAGGATGAGAAGGCCCAGGATTTCTGGGGCTGCATCCTCCTCCTCAGCCTGCACTTACTGTCATTTCCTTCTTTCAGACTCTCCCATTGATCCAAGTTGGGCTATGACAGGGCCAGGAGCATGTGCCCAGAAAGGGAAATTATGTACAGTCACCTATATACCTTCTGCTCTAAGTGGGCAGACTCAGGGCATTCAGGTGTAGGTAGAAATGGCATCATTGGAGGGCATACCCCTAACGCATCTAGTCTTTCTAGAGATATTCACTACCTTCAGGACTCACCTCCCCCACAGTGTTCTATCATCAGGGAGGATGAAGCTGTAGGGCTGTACCCACCTGATGCTTTTAAATATATATCATATCTGGTCACTTACTTTGAATTATTGGTGATCCAAAATTGTGGTCTCTCCTCTCCTGCTCTCTTATCTTTGTGTCTGGAAGAAACAGACAGGGTGGGGAAAGAAATTCATGTGAGGCAGCATTATCTCAGCATCTCCATTCACCTTGTTCTTTATCCAGAGTTTTTATTACTGAAACAAATCTTATTATGTGTCCCAGGATGGTCTTGACACCTCAATCCTCCAGCCTCAGCCTCTTGAGTACTAGGAGTACAGGTGTGCATTCCCATGCCCAGTTCCCTTTACCCCATCTGAGGGCAGATAGGTTCTGTTACCTGACAGCTGAACCTATCTTGGTTCTAATATCTGCCACAGACCCATTTGTCTTGTTAGTGCCATGAAATTTTTTTCAGAGAGTTTTTGAAAATGTTTGAGTCACAAAAACATTCTATAGATTCTGGAATACTAAAAACTAGCTGCAAATCTAACATGGGCAAGTTAATTGAATGTCTGCATTGTGTGATATAGTCAGAAATTGTTTCTACACATCTGGAATTTACAGGACTCTAGAAACAGCAGATTTCTCATCAACGCATTTTGGTAACATAATGTCCTTTATAGTGCAGCAAAGTTATTTACAATGTTTTCATTTATCCCATTGGCATAAATACACATATGTGTAATATAAATATTACTTTGTTTGATTAACGTATGCTTTCCAGATAAGATAAGTTATGTATTGCCTTTTAATTTTCTTACTTTATTTTTAAAGATTTATTTATATTATTTTAAATTATGTATACATGGTGGGTGTATGTGCGCATGAATGCAGGTGCCCACCAAGGTCGGAGGCATTGGATTCTCCTGGAGTTACAGGTGGTTGTCAGCTGTTACGGGTGCTGAGAACTGAACTTGGGTCCTATGTAAGCATAGAAAGTGCTCTTAACTGCTAAGTCATTTCTCTAGCCTCATCTTTTTTTTTTAATTGTAGTAAAATATATAATATAAAATTTGCCATTTAAATAATTTAAGTTTTTTTCCATTTATTATTGGTGTGTGTGTGTGTGTGTGTGTGTGTGTGTGTGTGTGTGTGTGTGT